AGGCGCTGAGCCGAGTTGACTTGTTTTTGATCAGATGTGGGATATAATGGAAAGAAAAGTTAAGGATGATCCCAAGGATGAAAGTGTAATGATTTCTGTAAAATGGGCACCCTCAAAAAAAAAAAAGGTAATGAGAATGGGGTTAAGAGAATTGTAGAGGAGGATTTGGAGACAGAGTATAGGCAACTGTATTGAGATGGCATACAGAAAAGGAATGGTGGCCAGGACCTTACTTGGGATTATGACCGTTCTGTTGTTTTATAGATGGGCTTAGGTATAGCTGCATGTTTATACTCTGATGGGAAGAAATCTACAGAGAAGAAAATTAATACTTAGAGATGAAAAATTCTTAGAGTTGGTCCTTGAATAGGGGAGGGAAAATTAGGAATTATTTAGCGTATGATTCTAGTACAACTTCTTACTCATCTCTAGAAACCAATCTTTTTGTTTTTGTTTTTGTTTTTTGAGACATAGTCTCACTCTGTTTCTCATGGATAGAATGCTGTGGCATCAGCCTGGCTTACAGCAACCTCAAACCCTTGGGCTCAAGTGATCCTCCTCCCTCAGCCTCCGGAATAGCTGTGACTTCTGGCGCCAGCCATAACACCTGGCTAAGTTTTTCCTTTTTAGTAGAGATGGAATGTCTCTCTTACTCAGGCTGGCCTCAAACTCCTGACCTCAAGTGTTCCACCTGCTTTGGCCTCCCAGAGTGTTAGGATTATAGGTGTGAGCCACTGTGCCCAGCCTATTATACTTTTTAAAATCTTGGTTTTCATATAAAATTTTTTATTACTAGAAAATTTATCTCATCCCTTCATGTCAGATTTCTCTTAGATTTAGTATTTTACATGGCTTTGAATTTAAAAGTTTAAACTATTTGCCAGCAGATAGGATTAAAAGATAAAAGGTACCTCTTACCTGAATTTTCTTCTTATGCAGAATAACTATAACTGCTTTGAAAATGAGTAAATCTTAGATGAGAGGTATAAGGGGGTTTAAAAGTTTTTTCTGTCCCTTCTAATTCCTTTAATATTTATATGTTCTCCTTTTTATCTTTTTGTCCTCATAGCTTATTTAACAGTTAAGACAGTAAAGTTGGAACCACTTTTATAATATATAAATAAATGTTGAGTACTTACTTAAAATATTGGTAGTGGAGGACATAGATTCATTTAATGATTAAGTTAAGAAAACAAATGAAACACGGGAGTGGCCATCAGTTCCTCTAACGATTGTTGCATGGGGATAAGTGTACGATGAACAAAGCCCCATACTTCTAGACAGGGAGGACAGCTTATTTTTACCCAGTTTAATATGGTGTTTCATGAAGGAACATATCCCTTATTACCTAGGGTACAACCACACACAAGCATTTACATATTAATTTGTGTGACAATTGTATATGAAAATCCTGAGACTGGAATTGTAGCTGTAGTAATCTGTATCGAGACTGTTGGCAATAATTGAGACCTGGGGAAATAAGGGCCTGTGTTAAGAAGATTGTGTATTGGCTCGGCGCCAGCAGCACAGTGGTTACAGTGTCAGCCACATACACCCAGGCTGGTGGGTTCGAACCCAACCCAGGCCAGCTAAGCAACAATGACAACTACAACAGAAAAATAGCCAGGTGATGTGGCAGGCGCCTATAGTCCCAGCTACTTGGGAGGCTGAGACAAGAGAATTACTTAAGCCCAAGAATTTGAGGTTGCTGTGAGCTGTGACACTACAGCACTCTACCATGGGGGACATAGTGAAACTCTGTCTTAAAAAAAAAAAAAAGATTATGTATTTGTAGGAATGAACTGAAAGGGACAGATGATAAACATTCGAAAGATTAAATCACATCCATCAGAGCCTATAGAATAGTGGTTCTTAAACTTGAGTATACAATCAGAGTCATAGAGGTTTTGTGAAATAGATTGTTAGGTCTTATCTCTAGGGTTTCGATTTGAGTAGGTCCAGAGTGGGCATCTGCTGATAACAAATTCCCAGGTGATACTGGTGCTCCTGGTCCAGGGACAACACCTGGGAAATTACTACCATAAAGGTATGTAGATTCTTTACCATCCCCATGTTCTCTGTGTATAATAGCGTGCCAGAGATAGCAAATGTGAAATGAGCCAAGTGTTCTGATTAAGTTTTTTTTTCATTTTCTTTTTGTTTTTTTTGTAGGCCAACTAATGGTAGTAAGAATAACTCCACATGTAACATCGAAGTAGTAAACTCAGTGGATATTGAAGAAAGCATTTGGTCCCCTAGGTTTGGATTGAAGGGCAAAATAGATGTTACAGTTGGTGTGAAAATACATCAGGGGTCTAAAACAAAATATAAAGTAATGCCACTGGAACTTAAAACTGGCAAGGAGTCAAATTCTATTGAACACCGCAGTCAGGTATAAATCTTACTAAGATAATTGTCTGAATAATGTATTTAAGATATAGTCTGCTTTAAATATTTTCATTCTGGCCTGTGGCTCAGTGGGTAGGGTGCTGGCCCCATATACCAAGGGTGGTGGGTTCGAACCCGGCCCAGGCTAGCTAAACAACAATGACAACTACAACAAAAAATAGCTGGGCATTGTGGCAGGCGCCTGTAGCCCCAACTACTTGGGAGGCTGAAGCAAGAGAATCTCTTAAGCCCGAGAGTTTGAGGTTTCTGTGAGCTGTGATGATACGGCACTCTACTAAGGGCAACATAGTGAGACTCGCTCAAAAAAAAATTTTTTTTGGCCCGGCCTACCAAAAAACAACGACAACTACAATAACAAAAATAGCTGGTTGTTGCAGCGGGCACCTGTAGTCCCAGCTACTTGGGAGGCTGAGGTAAGAGAATCACTTAAGCCCAAGAGTTTGAGGTTGCTGTGAGCTGTGATGCCGCAGCACTTTACCCAGGGCGACATAGACTCTGTCTCAAAAAAAAAAAAAGAAAAGAAAAGAAATGTAGAACTGTCTTATGTTAAATTCAAGTTTTTCTTTTCTTTTTTTTGAGACAGTGCCTCAAGCTATCCCCCTGGGTAGAGTGC